TGAGGAACTGTATTAAAGGGTCGCTGCATTAGGAAGGTTGAGAACCACTGTAGTTGACAGTTACAGAACCGGCACCAGATGTCCTTTATAAAGATAGGCATATTATTTTGCATGGAGACTTAGAGAGTGTTTGCCACATTTCCCTGTTGAAATGGAAATCTCTGAAAACCAGACCCTAGCCTTCCTCACTGCAGTCGAGTTGATTCCGGCTCAGAGTGACCCTGTAGGACTGATAGACTTGCCCTTTTGGGTTTCTGAGATTTTAGATGTTTACTGGAGTAAATATCCTAATCTTTCTCGAGAGGAGTGGTTTGAATGGACCTCGCTGTTGGTAGCTCAGTGCATAGCCCATTCTACCACCGGGAGTACAGACCTTATTCTTGCCCATCAATAGCCCCAGCCTGGCATTCCATCGGCATGAATGTTTATTGAATCAATAAACGAATGCATGGATGAAGCTCATTTCTTAGAAAGACTTCCTGACATACATGGACACTTCCTACAAGTAGGAAAAGTTCCTGGGTACCCGTGCTTTCTGCTTCACTTTCAGGATGAAAGGGATACCCCCCGCCCCCAGGATCTTTAGAAGTATTTAAAATTTATTCTCTTCATTAAAAATATGTAAGTTTCATGATTTCTATGAAGCAGTGTCATTGATAAAAGGAAACACCATTAGCTTCCCAGCCAACTGTTGTTGGAGAGTTTTTTAAAAAGTAAGATGTAGTACTTTTAGTTCAGAATGTGAGCCTACATTCATGGAGTGTGTGTGTGTGTGCTGTGTGTAAAATGACTTATTGCCAGAGTCAACTTGGTCCAGATTAATTAAAGCAGGAGCAAAAGTACTTTCATTTTCCAGAATATTATTTATGTACTAATCGATTTTTTAATGTACTGATATTATTTTAGAATATCATGAGATCTTCAGCTGTGATCCTAACTATTACTAGTTTTCATAGTTATTTAGGATTCTGTTTGCTCTGTTTAGAGATAAGATTATGTGTCTCGCACACCAGTATTCTTGTTAAGCATATTACCCAATATGGAAACCGTAGAAATTTATTTAGTTTGGGTCTGACCTTGCTGTTTTATTTGCTATGCATTTTGAACTTGATATCTTTTACTAAGGTATATCAGTACCTTAGTGTCCCTTCTCCTCCAGTAGATATAGAAATCTTTACTGAACAGGTGGATAAACAGTCTCAGAATGGACTACAAAGAAATTCCTCCCTATTTTTAACTATTTTTGCAGAGTTGCAATAAATGGTGGGACAGAACATTTTAGGACAGTGTTAAGAAATACAGTCACACAAAGGCACATTTAAGAGGAATCAATTATAGAATGTTACCAGGTCTGATAACTCATTTAAGATGACTCTTCCTTGATTTTTTTTTCTTTTTTCTTTTTATGTGGGAGCTTTTTTTTTAACATGGAACTTTTGTATTTTTATTTTATTTTTACATGGAACTTTTGTAACGTGGGATCTATGAGTTATAAATCTGTGTATGTGTATCTGTACAATTGGGCTGAGGTTCGAGCTCCCAGGCACTTGCTTATGCAGAAGGTAGGGTTAAATATTAAGCCTTTCTCAAATGTACCACAGTTGAGAGCTGGCAAGCAGTTTACTGCTCCATAAATTGAGTGATTGTTCAATTTTGTTTCACAGAGAGTACTGGGGCTTTGATTTTCTTATTTTCCAAATAAGGCTTTTTCTACCACACTATGTTGTATAGAAAATGTTTTTTATAATTTGTGTTCCTGGAACTCTTTGTCCCAGGACCTTTTAAAAATTCAAATATGTGATCCCAGAATTTTTTTTATCTTTTGAATTTGTAGAATTTAAGGAAAGGTGTAAGCTGTTGCCCGTAAGTCAAATTCCACCTACCACTGTCTGCAGCACTGTTAAGTGTATGCACAGTCTGGGGTCGCTGTGAGTCGGCGTTGACTCACTGGCAATGAGTATGCTTGTATATGACTGCACCCTGTAAACGTGGCAGAGTTTAAAAATTCCCAAAGACGTCCCTGGCCTGTAATGCCCAAAACTTCATAGGAAAAACATTTCTGACCCTTAGTGTAAGGTAAAGGTGAAAAACTGGCCTTAAAAATTTAACATGATCCGGGGAGGGAGGGGAAAAATGAGGACCTAATG